CGGACTTTCTGATTCAGATTCAGGACGTCGAAAGTATAAAATATGACTTTTCAAAAATTTGGAATTTTCGGTCAAATTCAAAGTCAACGGGTTTGACTACCAATTTTGAGGCCTTCGGGTCTGAATTTCAAAAAACGGACTGCGAAATCAGATTCGGAACGTCAAAAATGTCAGGATAGATATACTCGGTCAAAGTCAAAGGTCGTTTAATGCCCGGTCAACGCCGGTCAAAGTTTTGGTCAACTGTGGTCAACGTCGGTTAATAGTTTACGCATTAACAGTCAACATTCGACCATTTTACACAAATATCACCCTAACAGAAATTAATTACCAAATTAGCCACATTCTTCAAATATTTACTAAACTAACACCCGAATTTTACACAAATAGCACCCAAACATAAATTAATTACAAAATTATCACCCAGACGATGCCCACTCTCGGGGGTGGCACGTGAACAGTGCTACGGTGTCGGAAAATTCCCGGAAAAATTCCTAAAAATTATTTTAAGCGATTTTTAGGCATTTACAAAGCTCGGTTCACAATTTTGAATGTCTGAAACTTTGACGGTCTCACCCCTCCACGCGCCGGTGACGACGGAGAAACGATGAACACCGGTGGATTCGAATGATGCAAGGAACACGATGGCGCGGGAGGTGTCGTAAATGGATGATCGGATCGTCGTAAATCGATGAAAAACCAACTGAAATCGAGTTATTACCGACGATACTTCAGACTGAAATTAACGACGAATGATGACGATTCACGGCTAAAGGTTTGAGGTGTTTTGTTCTTCGGTCAACAACGAACACGATGGTGGTTTCGATTCATCGATTGGAGGTCGGACGAGTAGATCATAGTTGAAAGTGGGTTGATCGGAGGAGAGAAACTGATGTTTTCCTGCATAAAAACATAGGAATGGGGTTATAATTCATCCCAAAAGAAAAATGGTCAAATCATAAATTTAGCCACTGAATTTTCTTCACTTCTTAAAACGGTCTATCAACTTTGAAATTTTACAATTTAATCCATCGTTTCTTTCAAAATACCAATTAAATCCAATACTTTAAAATTTCTAAAATTTAGCCTCTAAATTGGGGGCCTCGACTGGCTGCAGCAGAGAGTAATGTATTGAAGGAAGTGGTTGATCGTGGAGTACCAAATTGCCCCATCTATTGGAAAGTTTTGATGGCGTGATCTAACATGCCAGCCATACCATACGATCTGATGAGAGTGGAGAGGAAAGGCTCTTGAGAAAACTTGGGGTCGGTTTTGTGGGACTCGATTAAGGATTCGATCTCGGAGAAACGGTGAGACTTGGCGAGGTAGCGGACGATGAGGTCTTAAGCGTAGCGGGAAGAAGAAGAGGAAGAGCAGTGTTTGGAAACGGAGGAGTAGATTTCGAGGGCTTTGTCAGGGTCGTATTCAGTGCGGAGTTTGCTTTTGGCATGGGAGAATGAGATGGAGGATGAGTTAGCGCCGGCAGCTACATTGGTGGTGGTCGAAAAGCGGCGGAGCTGGCAAAGACGAATAGAAGATGACATCTTTTTAGGGGACTTTGAGGTTCTTGTTAAGGTTTTAGACTAGGAGAGACGAGAGGCGCGCTACAATGCTAAACAATGGTCAGCGTTAAGCCCAATGAAAGATAATATTTCTCAACGTTCTTGTTAAGTTTGTTTTAATGTTCTATTATTAAGTATTGCCAATCAAACACTCAACTAGGGTTGCACAGAAGTCGGATTTCAATTCGATCCGGATCGATTTTTATCTGATCCGATTTTTTCTCATAGAAAAAAAATCGGTTTATAAAATAACCGGTTCGGTTTCTAACCGGTTTGGAGGGCCGGATATCCTAACCGGTGTAACCGGTTTCGGTTTTTAAAAAAACAGTTTTTTAAAAACCGGTTATAAAAAAACCAGTTATAAAAAAACTGATTTTAATATTATTAAAATTACATCATCATCAATTGCAACAAAGTTTACGATAATTGAAATACTTAAATACTTCCAAGTTTGATAAATTCAAATACTTAAAAACTTCCAAGTAAAAACTTCCAAGTTCGATAAATTCAAATACTTAAAAACTTCAAGTTCGATAATTGAAACAAAGTTTACGATAATTGAAATAAAGTTTAAAAATAAACTACATTGCCATCTCTTCTTCATCATCTTCGCCTTCTTCGTTTGGAGGGGATATTCTAAGTTCGACTTCTTCAATGTGTAAGTTTGCTTCCAAATCGGCATCAATTGCATCTTCTAGGGTGGTGATATGTTGCTTGCGAGTCGCTCCATCCAAATAATCCTTTAAACAAATGCATACTTCCACCGACTCGGGACTTAGTCTTGATCTCCGTTGCGATATAACCCTGCCACTAACAGAAAAAGCGGATTCCGAAGCTATCGTAGAAGCTTGGACGATTAGTAAATCATGGGCCATGGCGACTAGAATCGGAAATTGTGCTTCCTTTTCTTTCCACCAAGCCAAAATATCCAAACTTTCAAACTCTTCAAATGTCATTTTTGATAGAAAATTGCATGACATGTAATTTTCCAACTCGCTACTTGGGGTGGTAGTACGTGATCGTTTGGATTGGGAATTTACAAGAGTGTTAAAAAGATTCAAATTTATGTTACTTGGACGTCTACTAGATGTTTCCGCATTCATTCTCATTTGATTGTGTATTACACTAGTTGATCTGTATTTAGTTAAATAAATTGCAAACATGTCTCGAAAACATTTGTTAAAATAATTTATTTGGTTTTGGACAAAGTTGGGTTCATCATCGGTTAGATTAAAAGCAAACGCAATTTGTTCAATTAGTGTTTCAACCCCGCCAACATTTAACGTTGGGTTTAAAGCGGCGGCACAAGTAAAAATGGGGGGAATCTCCTTAAAATATTTTAAAAGTTTTTCCTTCATTGCAAAGCCAATTTCTTGAAAAACTTCGGTTTCAAATTCAAAGTCATTTAGTCGGGTAGCCAACAAAAATATTTGATTAAGAACCAACGGGCTAGTAGGGTAATAAACACCGGATAAAAAAGTTGTTACATTTTTAAAAACCCCAAGCAAATCGGTTATTTTGGCTATAGTTTTCCAACTCGAATCCGGATAAATGTTTGAGACATGACCCCTCTCGAAAAGCCGATCGTGAAATGTTTGCAATGTTTCCCTTTGCCTTAAGGCAGTATGCATCATCATCCAAGTTGAGTTCCAACAAGTTGGACAATCCAAATTAGGACCCAAAGCTTTTTTATTAACGGACTTACAAAATCGTTTATAATCATTTAGTCTTTTGTTGTTGTTACAAAGAATCGATTTTATCATTGTTTTAAATTCTAATCTAATCGGCTCAATAACCTCCAAACCGGCTTGCACGGATAAATTAATTATGTGTGCAACGCAACGGGTATTAAAAAATGCACCGTCTAAAATCGGTGAAAGTAATATTTTCAATCTTGGAACCGCGTTTGTATTATTCGATGCATTATCAAATGATATAGAAAAAACTTTATTTTTCTAATTTATAAAGACAAATTACCCTTTTTAAAAGTGTAAATAAATTAGCACCGGTATGCGGCTCACCGAATAATTCAAACGTGATTGTTCTTTTCATCATTTGCCAATTATTTTGATCTAACCAATGTGACGTAACGGCTAAAAAAGAATTTCCGGTATTATGAGGGGAACTCCAAACGTCACATGTAAGCGACACACCATAACGGTGTTCTTGGAATCCTAAAATCATTTTTTCCCTCATCGTACGCCACATTTTTATAGCATCTCTTCTAAGGGTAGTACGACTTACTTGAGTATAACGTGGTTGCATTAGTTGTTGAATTGTTGTCGTGAAATATTCATCATCAAAGTGGTCAAACGGCAATGCTTTTGTAATCACGAACTTTGTAAACGCTTCTCGTAATTTTTCGTTGTCGTAAACAAAAACACCACCTTGCGGTGTAAGATTCAATTGACTAGGATCTGATCTTGAGCGAAGTGCCTTGCATGATTTTGTCAAATGGTTCTTCAACGTTGTGTTTCCTTCCGATGCAAGTAACTTTAGACAAAGTTTACAACGCGCCCTCCTCGAGCCATTTGACATCTCACATAAATCGTAGTGATCCCAAATATCTTTGTTTCGAGTGTGTTCGATCACTCTCACGACTTCAATGTTTCCCCCGACGGAAGATTCAGCCGTGTTACTCATGATGAACAAAAAATTACAAAAATAAGATTTGAGAGATGTTTAGGTGTTGTATAATAAGATTTGAGAAAGTTGTAATCAACCAAATACATCCTCAACCTATTTATACATGTTTAGGGTGGTAAAATGGTAATTTTTTAAAGAAAAAAACGGTCAAAAATGGTCACAAAACCCCCCCAAACGGTTAGTTTTTTAAACCCAGACCGATTTTTTTTCCGGATAAAAACAGATTTTTTAACCGATTTTTTTCAAACCAGTTTTTTATCCGGTAAAAAAACCGGTCTAGGTTTTTTTTCCAAACCGGTTAAAATAACCGGTTTAAAAAAATCCGATCCGGTTAAAAAAAACGATTTTTCCCAAATCCGGTTTCGGATATTTTTTTACAAAATCGGATATTCGAATTTTTTGTGCACCCCTACACTCAACCATGAAATCTTTGTCAAAACATATCAAACCCTTAAATAAGAGGACTATTTTTTATTTAAAAAAACTAAACCCAAAAACATTTAAATAAAATAAATTCAATCCAGAATAAATATGAAGATGATTATTTCAATCTATATTATTCTATTTATAACATCAAGATTGTTCATATTCATTTAAAAAATCTGATATTTCATCACACTAGCCCTAAGACCTTACAGGTTCTGTTCATATTCATACAATCACCTTTAGAAAGTAATGGTAAAAGAATATAACCTAGTCGGGATTCAAATTTTAATATCGCAGGTTAGGAATTTTCTAGTACAGAAATGAAGCGAAGCAAAAGGTAGAGAAATCACTAGAAATCAATAAAAATAAGCAACAACAAACGACATAATTTTTTCTTAAGCATAGCATATTACAAACTCGACATTAAGTGCAAACCAATATTACAATTACAAAAAAGGTAGGTAGTCATGGATAAAATTCTTATATCTTAACTATCTCTTTAAGTCAAAAACCTAAACATAGAAAGAACCAGTTCGAACAACTATAATGCACGGCAGATAAGATCCGTTATTAGGCGTCATATTCCCCCTGAGCAAATTTGTCCTCTGGATAGAAGACAGCAATTACTTGATTATCACCGAATCTCCTTCCATTCATTGCAGCCTGGGCTTTTCGGGAACCGTCAACGTCCGAGTACTCCAGAAATACCTTAAAATATCAAACAATTGCAATTCAGTAACAGGGGGAAGAACAATAGGATTTCTTCAACAACAAAAATGATAAAAAAATTACTGAACACTGACCTTCCCAACACCTGGTAATGGTTCGCCATTTGGATTTGGGCGGGGTATGACAACATTTACCAATGCACCTGGCATATCACATGTGAAAATTTCGAATCCAAAAAAAAAATCTTCAAGGAATCAGTTAAGAAGAACTGTAGAAAAAATATAGATAAAGGGTTATCGTGTCTCCTGTCTATGTAAGCTAAACTCGACTCTTCTATACCAGAGGCGGAACAAGAAAGGGCTGTAAAACAGAGATACAAAAACACACACAAAAGCGGGGAAATTAATAAAAATATAAAATGCTTAGCATGCTAAGAAAACTTAAAATTTAGAGAGGGGCAATTACAAAAAGATGGACCAAATAGCTTAAGAAGATTTTTTACCATATTTTCCACCCTCTTGTTTCATGTCTTCAACAATATCCCCGTACTCCTCATCATCTCTAAGATCATCTTCGCTAATTGCTTGAGTCAAGCACACAACCTTTGTGGGCACACCTTGTGGTTGCAAAATAAGCCTCTGACAAAAGAGGACTAAGAAATTAGCCTATAATCTACAATGATAATTTCAACAAACAATAATAAATTTAGAAAAATGTGATACGTATTCTTACCTGCAAAGCAATCTGCTGCTGTGCATGCTGGAGGATACTCTCCTGCTCAGGTTTAGGCTGGGTAGTACCTTGGTTTGCTCGTCTAACAGTGAGAGTTTTATCACCCATTTTAATTCCATTTAAAGCAGCACAAGCAATGTCTGTAACTGACAGATCTTGATAAATGCAGAAGGCATAGCCTTTCGAGTTTCCAGTTTCTCTATCTTTTACTAGATCAAAACCTCGAAGAGGTCCAAAAGACTCTAACAACTCCCTGATTTGTGCTTCAGTGAAGTAATATGGAAGCCCTCCAACAAAAATGCGGTCTGGACCCTCAAGCCCACCAGCAGATCCTGGAGATAGACCCACAGCAGCTAGATTAAGATTGGGACTAGGCTGGCTTGGACCAAGAGTTGCAGCTAGAGAAGGGTTATAGTCACTGGGTCTCCTAACCTTCACAGGAGCTCCCTAGAAATTCAAACAGGTCATTGCAACATTTTGTACTTAAATGACTTCAGTATGAAGATCCCAAAGAAAATAAAAAACCTCAAAAATAATGCCATCTAAAGCCATTGCATTACTAGCTTCCTCTACTGATCTCATCTCTACAAAAGCGAACTTCTTTTCATGGTTTATGTAAACGTTAACTACAGCATCCCCTGAATGTAACAGAAAAGAATGAGCAACTAGAGACATAAAGAAGGTATTTTAGTCGACCAATGGATAAAAAAATCTCCATTTACCCGGATCAGCAGTGTTTCCACCAATTGCAGCCATAACCTGGCTGAAGAAAGTTGCGACTGACTGAAATATAATATTTAGGGTTAGTTCCAGCACTAACACAAATATAACAATGAAAATGTTAAGTATAATGCATAGTAAAACCTGTTCATTTGCAGTAGGAGAAAGTCCTCCAACATAGATGCGGCGAGCATGCCTTGTAGCCTGATCGTAAAGATAAATCATATAAATGTAATTTTAAAAAAATTATTTTGTAGAGAAGAGAAACTTCAAATGTATGCATAATACACCAAACCTGCTGAGTCATTGCCTGAACTGGCATTAGAGGGAGACCACCAAACTGTTGCAAAGAGCCAAAACTCATACTGAGTTTGAGATATTCGGGAGCTTGCAACAATCTCATTCACACGAGAAAAATACATACCTGACCAGTTGCCAGAGGAAACATGTTTGGAAATACTCCTGCTAGGGCTGGATTATTCCCAGGAATCTGGACTGCAAAAGAAATTCAGATTTCATATAAGGATATAATTATAAATATCAGTCTTATTCCTATAGCAGTTGATGCAGCAAAAGGACTTTATGCCTCCTTTCCCATAGCATATCTGAACCTCTTAAAAAAAATAACACATCATAAGCAAGTTCTTGAGGAAATACTTGCAAGACTACCCAAAAAGGCAATAGTTGCCAGTGGAAAGACGAACAATACCATTAAACTCGTGCATTGATTCCTCCTTGTACACAAAAGCTACAGAAGTCGGCTCACGCCATTGCCTTCTTACAACAAAGACAAAAACATAGAAACAAACAAACAAACACCAAACACAAGACAACCAAAACTCTCTCAGTTCCAGAATTATTTCACCAAGTATATAAAAATAATATTAAAACCCTTCTATAGACTGCAGCTTAAAAGGCTGTATATACAAAATGGAAGAAAAAATACAGCTTACCAAAAGCATACCGGATGTCTCGTAGGAACTTCCCACAATACATCAACCAAAAGAGCAGTGGCAGTTACCAAAATACAGAAATCATAGAACTCGTGACGCCATATGTACCTGAAGTGGCCGTGACTGCAGCGGTGGCAGCAGCAACAGCACCACCAGAACCAGCAGCTAACATTGCAGAAGCAGGAGGTGCCATGTCAAAGCCACTAATCCTTTTGCTGCAGACAGATAAAAATAGTATATCAGGGACATGAAATATAATCAACATGAGCCGGGATAAAGACCTTAAACTGCTCTTACTAGTTACTACTTCCAAGAATTGAACACAAGTATTCTAAAAAAAAACTAGATGCTGCTTCAATTTGTAAAGCAAGGAAAATTATGTTTTTCAAATTATCTAGTTCTTTATAACCTACCTCCTTGAGGATGAGCGAGAGCGGGACCTTGACTTTGATCTGTGTTCGGATCTACGAGACCCGCGCCTATTCCTGCTCTCCCTGTCTCTATCATAACCCCTTCGCCTGCAAACAACATTTAGAAATATAAAACCTTATACAGCTAGCAATAAGAACAAGCAGAATAAAGTAAACAGAGTAATCAATGTCAAGGAAGCTTAAATTGATTTAAATATGCCACCTATCATAGTCCCGACTTCGGTGGTAATCATCTTCATCCCTATCTCTTCCTCTTTCCCTCCTCTCACTCTGCTCCCTACGACGATCTCTGTGATGACAATCACGATCCTTACCCCGGTCCCTATCCTTTTCCCTTTCCCTGTCCCAATGACGATCAGAATCCTTCTCCCTGCCCCTGTCGCGGCTTTTCTCTTTTTCCCTACTTCTAGAAGATCCTCTCTCGTGTTCACGAGATCCATGCTGCAAAATAGTTAGTCATATTAACATTAACGAATATGAAATGAACAATTATATAACTATACGAGCTTGGTTTGCAAAAAAAATATACCTAATTTAAAACAAGATTAACCTTAATATATTTTCTATTCTCAAATGAGCAAATAAAATGACATATAATAGAAGAAGAAACTAGAATCTAAACAACCTAAACCTCATTCATATATTCTTCAAAAAGGACTAAAACAATCAATGTCAATAGCTCTAATCTAAGAGGGTGGGAAGGAACCCTAACTTCAAGCGATCTTGTGGTAGTGAAACATACCTGAGATTTGGAATCACGGAGATCATCAAGTCCGCCGTGACTATCTTCGCGAGGCTGAGGAGAAGGAACGCCGCCATTACAGTTTTCAAGATCCTCCCCGTTACTCTGGTAGCCAGCTTCGTAATCGGTCATTTTTTTTGGGTGATAGTCTTTAAAGACTATTTAGGTTTTCTTTTTGATTTTGTTAAGTCGCTGGGATTGCTGAAAAACCAAGCCGCTCGAGATATTTATTCGCTACGAAGGTGCTTAGCATAGAATACATTTTAAATTTTAGAGTTAAATACTAGTATTTTGTTTTTAAAAATTAAAATTGTATTTATTATTAATTTGGCATCTAAAATCTTTTTTATTTAACTGGCTTCCAAAGTTATTGAACATCTACAGCATGAATTAATTGTTAATTTCCGTCGCAACAAAAATTACATTGCGCGCTAGAAATATGTTAAAAGAATATTAACAACACTTGAAAATAATTTATACCATATAATGTATGAGTGTAATAAAAATATTATATAGAAAGAAATTAAAATAATTTTTTTAATAATTAAGAGTGTGTTATTCTTATAATCACCTTAAATCACTTGAAATATTAATAATAATTAAAATATTGTTTTAGATTGTTTTCTATATTAAAGAGACTGATTTAAATATTTTTATATTAAAAATTAATTTAATAATAGAAATATTAAATTGATGCAATCCCTATAATATATAATAGAAGGAGTTTGAAGGTACGTTCACCTTGGCTTTTCTCTCGGCTAAACCTGGCCTAGTGGATCACTGCCATAATTACCTGATTTGGGTCTAAAGAGAAGGACCTTGCCCTGCTTCTAACCTTGCTTTTCAAGGCCCCAACTAGTGGGCTACTATTTTTTAAAATACGAGCCCGTAGTTCTTGCACTTTGCCCAGAAAGATGGGTCAGCAGTCTCACGTGATTCCAGCATCTAGTTGGTTCGATTAAAAAATCATGGATAATCAACTTAATCAATTAATCAACCCCAAATTTTAATATATTAACTTATTTTATCTTTAAAGTAATTTTAATTTGGATGTGATTAAAATAATTTGTTTTTTCAAAAAATAACATAATTTGAAATTGGATTTTGAGTTGAGTTTGGGTGAAAATTATATATTATAATTATATTTAAAATATTATATATATATATATATATATTTAAGATGACTAACTTTATGGATTATATTATAAATATCATGAATCAAATACCAAATAAATTAACTTATTCTAACTAACCACATGATTAACTTGATTTTACATCAACTTTTACTCATCCCTTATATCAAATAACTACTTAAATAATGTGTACGATCTCATCGTCTCAATTATTTTCATTTGTTATGTTCATTACATGTGACTGTAACAACTTCCATTATATCGTTAACAATCTGTATAATATAATCGGAATCATCCTCGGTACATTATACTTTAAATCATTTAATTATATATTTAATAATAAATATATTATTCAATTAAGATGTTTTTATAAAATAATCGTTGGTCGTTAAGTATTATATAGAAATAATAACGTGATTTGGTATGATAATAATTTTAGTCACAAAAATTATATAATTTGATTTTAATTCGAAATAGTTTAATAAATTTAACCAAATATACTTCTTTTTATCATTTTAGTTTTTACTTTTTTCCTTAAAAATGTTTTATTACTTTCATATTATTTTATTGATATAATTTAATAATAATATGTTGTTTTAGAGTGTAATACAATTATTTAACTAATGTTGACTCATTTGTTTTGACAACATTAAAAAAATTATATTGATAAAAATTTAAAACATTAATGTTTAAATTTATTAAATTAGTTTTAATTAAAATAAAATTAAGAAAATATATAAATTTTTAGAAATATTATTACATTATATCACAAGCTGTAACAACTCTCATTATATCGTTAGGGGTGTAAATGAACATAACGTTTAGTGAACTGTTCGTGAGTCGTTCATATAACATTCGTTTATGTTTGTTCGTTAGGTTAAATAAACGAGTATGAATAAAAAAATTTAGGTTCATTTAATAAATTAACAAACACGAACAAAGGTGTGTTCAGTTCGTTTATGTTAACGAACAAGCTCGTTTATCGACTCGTTCATGAACAAGCTCATTTATCCATTTATCCTTGTTTTTCTTTCTTTTTTCTCTTTTTTTAATTTTAAATATTGGTAAAGGTAGAGACTAAATTGAACACATGATAAAAGTTGAAATTCAAATTATGGATTTTAAAGAGTTCAAGCACTAGTGGTGTAATTTATCATTTTTTCTTTAACTAGCAAATGAAAAGGTAAAACTAAAAATTAACTATATAAACCAACAATAAACGAACGGTAAACGAACATGTTCGTGAACGTTAAATGAACACGTTCGTAAACATATAAATGAAAACGTTCACGAACAATAAACAAACATGTTCGCGAATAAGTAAACAAAAGAACACAAACATAACTTTGTTTGTTCAAATTCGGTTCATTTACACCCCTATATATCGTTAACAATATATATTTTATAAAAAATATTATTAACAATAAAATTTATTAAAATTTTACAATTAAATAATTTATTTATAACAATATTTAATTGACATATTTATAATTTTTAAAATAATAACATATCTATTACTAATGTCATTATTAAATAATTTTAAATTTAATTTAATTATTAATATTTTGGATCACAACTTAAATATATGAGCTCAAATCTTAAGCAAGTCAAGGGGCACATGCTTCAGTTGCAAGGTAAAGTTCAAATTATTGGGAAGATGAGAGATAGCGATAGGCGTGGCCATAAATAAGTAACGAACTAAAATCGAATTATTCTCAATGACACTAAACTCCAATCACGCATGTTAGTTTACTGGATTAATAATACAACCACTTGATAAGGTAAGTCCATCTACACTAATTTAATAATATTATATAACTTATTTTCACATAAGAGTAGGTGGCTAGGGATTTTTATAGGCAGATACGCAAAAGACCAAAATATCACATATATTTATATTTTAGATAATATTAGTATATGCTGATTAAAAATGTCGTACAAATTTAAATACTATAGTTATTAAATAAAATAAAATTGGAATCAAAAGATATAACTCTGTTTTGAAAACCGGACCGGATCGGCCGGTTTAATCGGGAATCGTTGCCTAGTCCAGTTCAATATAAACCGGTTGAACCGCTACTAGTAAACCGGTCAGAATCGCTGAACCGTTCGAACCAGACCGACTGAAAACCGAAAAAAACCGAAAAAATCGGAAATTTTGTTTTTTTTTTTAAAAAAAAATTAAACCAAACGTCGTTTGTTAAACGAGCCAAGTCGAACTCGAGTATTGCTGATATCGACTCGAACTTGAAAACTTTAAAAGTAAGCTCAACTCTACTCAAACTCAAAAGTTTAAAAATATCAAGTTCAACTCGAACTCGAAATATAATATTGAAACTTGAACTCAAAAAGGCTTGAACTCAAAAAAAAAATTAGAAGCTCAATTGAAGCCTAAAATTCGAGCTTGATTGAAATGAAATAATAGTTCACTCAATGCTCACCAAAAGGCTTCATGATTTTGAATATCAAATTACCTCTATTATTTATAGAAGTTAGTTGTGATGCTCTTCTATGTTTCTAGCAATGTGTGATTGTTTTATTCTCATATTTTTAATCTTTAGACTTTTGGGATGCTCTTCTATGTTTCTTAGCCATGTAGGATTGTTTTTTAAAAAAATTAAACCAAACAATATCATTTTGTTATGATTTTTTAGCCCCAAATTTATTTTTTAATTATAGTTATATAATTATATTTATTATTTAATATGTTTTACCTTAAATATTATGTTGTAGTTAATTTGAATCATTTTATTTCACTTGATTTTATAGTTTTAAATTTATATATGTTATGACTTGCTTTGAATATGACTTGTGATATAAAAAATTATTTTTTATTAAATATTTTTGATATTTTTATTTAATTTTTTTAAATAATTATGACGTCGTCTGACTCTTCTGATCAATCGAAATAATTCAATTAGTTAAATCAGTGAACTGATAGTATGACCGATTCGTTAATCGATCCAATTCGTTAATCGATCCGATTCGTTAATCGGTCCGATTCTGAAAACCATGATGTATAAGCATGGAATACGCGTAACGCGCATACGACAATCCAACAAATTAAAAGCAAGTTTCGGTTTTGGGTCAAAACTCATATGAAGAAGATGATTTGAACTATTAGTTTTGTGCTTGTTGAAAAGGACAAAACAAAAAGACGGCACCGTTTTATATGAAAATTATACTAGACACGTGTCGAACGATGAATTTATGTAAACGCAGCCAATGACCTACTATTTATCTTTTCTTTTCTTTTTTTCTCTACAACTAACCCTCATCAAAATAGAAAATAAACATTTTTCATTTTCCTTTGTTTGAACATTGAACTTTGAATTAGAGAAAAACGTAGCAATCTTTCATCTTCTTCGTTTTGATCCAAAAATCTTTAAAAACAAACAAAAAAAAACTTCTTTTCAATTAATCTTCCACTTAATCCTTCATGGGCAAAGGCGGTGGCTGTTTCCCGAGCAAGAAAAAACACCCGACCCCCGCCGAAGACGCCGCTGGCACTGCGCCCGTTGCTGCCGATGAAGAAATCCAAGAAGCTCCCGCCGTAACGGTGAATTCAGAGAACGCCCGATCATTCACGGCCACTTTAAAAGTCTTCATTGTGTTTTACTCCATGTATGGTCACGTTGAGAAGCTGGCGAAGCGGATGAAAAAAGGAGTCAATGGTGTCGAAGGTGTCGAAGCGGTTCTTTTTCGGGTCCCCGAGACGCTTTCAGATGATGTGCTGGAGCACATGAAGGCGCCGCCTAAAGATCTCGAGGTTCCTGAGTTATCGGCAGCGGAGTTAGCGGCGGCGGATGGTGTTCTATTTGGGTTTCCGACAAGGTTTGGATGTATGGCTGCTCAGATGAAGGCGTTTTTCGACTCCACGGGGCAGCTTTGGAGGGAGCAGACACTGGCTGGGAAACCGGCTGGATTCTTTGTTAGTACCGGAACTCAAGGAGGCGGCCAAGAAACCACCGCGTAAGTTATAATTTCTTTGTTGGAAAATAGAATGACAAAATTTGAGTAACAATTTGAATTCTTTTTCCTTTCCATTCCGATTTTACTGAATTTGTTGGCCACGAGATATATTTAGGTGGCTTCTTATAGATGATTTTCGAATATGAGTATGAATCATTAAGTATATGACAAATCCACCATCGAGTATAAGTAACATGTTGCAAATGTGCGGCAAATGAATGAAGCTTCCATATAGCATGTACTCTGTATTTACATCTGTATGTATGTTTTTATCAACATTCCGACATTTCTTATGCTTTGTTGATCCTTATGGTTCAGTTGGACGGCGATAACCCAGTTAGCACACCATGGAATGTTATTTGTTCCCATCGGCTACACTTTCGGAGCCGGTATGTTCGAGATGGATTCGATACATGGAGGTTCCCCTTACGGTGCCGGAGTCTATGCTGGTGATGGCTCAAGGGAGCCTACTGAAGCCGAGCTCGATCTGGCCGAGCATCAGGGCAAATACATGGCTGGTATTGTCAAGAGGCTTTCTCAAGCATGACGTTCTCAGCATATTTCCCATCGAGATGAAAGATGTTTTCTTTTTTTTTTCATTCCTTGACATTTTACATTCAGTTAAAAGTTGATATACATGATTTGATATTCTTCTATCATATATAGCTTATCAAAACTTGTAGATGTCTACATGTGAGAATTGGGTGTTCGTTTATATAATTTTCTGTGCACTTCACTCAAAGTTTCCGATTTAATAAAATTTCAGCTCATTGGTATTCTCTCGTTTCATATGGATTCAATATCCCTTGTTTATCTATGAACAGTGAACTGTTGTTTCTTCATAAACTTCAATAAATTATAAAGATAATAAAAAATAAACACCTTTGTTATTTACATATAAATTAATTATTAAAACTAACAGAAATAAAATTGAAAATAACAACACAAGTACACAACAACATGAATTTATGATTTACCTGCCACTCTACAAAACCTTACATGCTATCATACTTATTGTCTGCAACAACCATTCCAAAGCCAAGCTTGAAGGGTGTCAAAATTCTCTCTCATTTGTAAATTTAACCAAACCATGAAACCGCCCTTCACCGAAGTGTTTGTGAAAATTGATTCTTATAATTATTGAAATTGTTGATTGTTAAAGATGATATGGTGTTGTTTAATGTATCTCTTCTCAGATTCTAGAGCATATCAAAGAGAAGACTAATTGAATTTTTGATCGTTTCATCTTTGACTTGAGAAAAAAAAAGCTCTTCACTCCGTTCCCACTCCAACTCATCTCGTATAACGGACAAATGCAAAATTTTATGTTGTATACCTCATTCATCTCTATGTTTTATTTAATTTCAACGCTAATTTTTTTTAAGTATTTATCAATGGCTACTGCAAAAAGTAGTGGCGAATCCAAGAAGAATGTTAGTAATGGAACATAGAAGATGGGGAACGACAAGATTGGGAGATTGAAAAGAGGACGAACTTGATTTTGGGTTCAAAAAACAATGGAAACCAGTTTTTTGTGAAGCTTCCATGACACAGACTTCACAAGAAAATTCGTGGCCTTCAATGAAATCAAGAACCTGTTCGATCATTTGCTTCACTAGCAGACCAATCATCTTCTAGTTTGTCTTCTCTAACGCTTTCTTTACTGTCTCCTTCTTCGTGGAATGTTTCTTTGGCATCTTCGAGATTGGCTTTTCCTTTCGCTTTCGGTGCATCCCAACAGCCGATTTTGTTCCCTCTGCCAATGCTCTATCCGTCACTGCAATATCAGAAATAGATGATTTCGTTTAGTCCTCAACAGCGGAAACATTTCGTTTACGGACCATTTTGTGCCCGAGAACATCACTGGTACCGTTACAAATCATGGTCTTTAAAAAAGCAATAAAATTCAGTACCTTTCAGCACTTATTTTGGGTTTCTTTGTGGCAAATCGAAGCAAACCGACCGCTGGGAGTGGTGGTTGTGGAGGTTATGGCAAGGTTTTTGAATTTTCTAACCGGAGATATGGTGATGGAAGTTGTTGTTATCTTCAATGGGTCTTGATTAATTCAGAGGGGTGTTGGGGTTGGGGAAGGAGGATGGTACTGACGACGGAAATGAGAAAAGAGGAGTAATTTCGGCATATTATTTAGAGAAAATCGCCTCAGTGACCAAAAAAAAGTTATAATATACGATTTTAACCAACTTTTTTTGGATTTGCGAAAATGACCAACAAAATCGCAACGCGAAATAAAAATCGCAACGCGATTTAGAAAATCGCAACGTGATTTAGAAAATCGCAACGTTGAAAAGAAAATCGCAACGGTCAAAAGAAAATCGCAACGCGATATTCCAAGAATCGCAATGCGATTAAGAGAATCGCAACGCGATCTTCCAAGAATCGCAACGCGATTAAGAAAATCGCAACGCGATTCCAAGAATCGCAACACGTTTAAGAAAATCGCAACGCGATTCCAAGAATCGCAACGCGATTAAGAAAATCGCAACGCGATTCCAAGAATCGCAACGCGATTCAGAAAATGAGTAAATTCTTTCAAAAGCTATTGTATTTGTTTCTTTCTTAAGAATTTTCTCTAAAAAGATAGTATCCGCGCGGACGTGTCGAAGACACGTATTACCACGACCACGACCACGACCACGACCACGACCACGACCACGACCCGAGACGAGACGAGACGGCGGCGGCGGCGCGCGAGAGTCCCCCTTGTTCTCTTTCACTCAACAAGGAAATGGGAAATCCAAGCCTTAAATACTCTTCCCAATAGTGTTTCCAATACTATGTGGGATTGAGCATTACTCAACACTTCAAAGAAAATATAGCAATTTTTGTAGCATGTTTCCCGCTTAATCCATATTTAAAAATATTAAAACATTTTATCATATTAAAACTATATATATAAGTTTGAATTGAAATGTAGATATCTACAACTCTTTTAATTCTCTTGATAAAATGTTTTAATATTTTTAGATATGGATTAAGTGGGAAAATACTACAAAAATTGCTATATTTTCTTTGAAGTGTTGAGTAATGCTCAATCCCACATAGTATTGGAAACACTCTTGGGAAGTGTATTTAAGGCTTGGATTTCCCATTTCCTTGTTGAGTGAAAGAGAACAAGGGGGACTCTCGCGTGCCGCCGCCGCCGTCTCGTCTCGTCTCGGGTCGTGGTCGTGGTCGTGGTCGTGGTCGTGGTCGTGGTCGTGGTCGTGGTCATACGTGTCTTCGACACGTCCGCGCGGATACTATCTTTTTAGAGAAAATTCTTAAGAAAGAAACAAATACAATAGCTTTTGAAAAAATTTACTCATTTTCTGAATCGCGTTGCGATTCTTGGAATCGCGTTGCGATTTTCTGAATCGCGTTGCGATTTTCTTAATCGCGTTGCGATTTTCTGAATCGCGTTGCGATTTTCTGAATCGCATTGCGATTCTTGGAAGATCGCGTTGCGATTCTCTTAATCGCATTGCGATTCTTGGAATATCGCGTTGCGATTTTCTTTTGACCGTTGCGATTTTCTTTTCAACGTTGCGATTTTCTAAATCGCGTTGCGATTTTTATTTCGCGTTGCGATTTTGTTGGTCATTTTCGCAAATCCAAAAAATGTTGGTTAAAATCGTATATTATAACTTTTTTTTGGTCACTGAGACGATTTTCTCTATTATTTATTTTATTTTTAATTGATTTTTATTTATTTTGATAAAGAAAATAAAAATAAAAATATAATATGTTGATTTCCGAATTTTTTTAAATGCAATTAACAATTTGAAGCAAACAAAATAACTATTTAAATTTTAGGAGATAAAATATTTCGAAAAACACAGGCAACTCAATATATACTTTAAAAAGCATCAATGCATTTAATCTTAAAAAATATTACCTTCAACCATGCATTAGTGTTCATGCAAACTTAAGAAATGGCTCAGTGACGAAGATAGCAACTTTCCCTAATGAATAAAAAAAATTAAGGCAAAAAACATAAGAAGTATTTGTATTTAAAAAAAATATAATTAATATGGTATTCGTATTATTTTTCACTTAATATAATCATCAACTCAAAAAGCAAATTTGATATGATTATTTGACCAAATTTTTATCATTGATCGTCACTGTATTGATGTGACGATTTGTGAGGTTGATATATCATTTTACAGTGATCAATAATATGACAGAATATATGATATATAAGTTAAATTGATTTTTTTAGTTTTGCTCATGAGTCAATTTGATTTGTTTTCAAAAGTTCAAGGGTTTGTTTGTTTTTTAAATAAAAAATATTTTAAATATAGTCATTCAAATATTTAAAAAATAAATATAAAAATACTAAAAATAAAAATTAAATTACTAAAAAAGTTGAATATACATATAAAAAATACTAAAACTATTATAATTATTTATTATATATCATAGGTTAAATGATAACTTATAAATTATTAAAAATATTTTTTAAAATATATGTTATACATAATTTATAAATGTAACATAAAGACATTCACCAACACTTATATAAAGCATTATTATTATTACTCGAGACTTACAAAATTTAAATTAATTGAAACTTATAAATTTGAATTAGTCAATACTTACTATATTTTCTAATTATCTTTTATGTCGAAACCTATTATATAATTATCTTTGAAATTAGTTGAGACTTACAAAAAGATAATTAGAAAACATAATAAGTTTCGACTAATTTAATATGAGAAAATAACCTCAGTGACCGAAAATTCTTTAAAATATACGATTTTGACCAACTTTTTTTCGATTTGCCAAAATGACCAACAAAATCGCAATGCTATCTCTAAATCGCAACGCGATCTCCAGTATCGCAAATCAGTTTCCAGATTCGCAACGCGATTTTGACTATCGCTTTGCGATTTTTCAAATTTGCAACGCGATTCTGATTATCGCAACGCTGAATTTCAAATTCGCAACAGGTTTTAGTTTCGTAACACAAATGTTTTGGGTATATAACTACGCAACAACAACAACTCATAACCTAAATCCCTAAATTACAACTCATTCCATCTCCATCTATCATTCTCTCCGGCGACATCCGTTCCTATATCCAACGACATCCTTCCCCATCCGGCAACATGTTTTAGTTTCGCAGCTCGTTTGTTTAGTAAATTAATTTACAATAATGAAATCATCTAATGTTGATCATGTTTGGATAGATTTGTGTTTTGGAGGGTCATGGGAAAATGTTCATGGTGTTTTACAATATATGCCTTTACCCATGAATCTTCAACTAAAACTGTCTTTAAAAAAGTTAACTTATGAAACTCTAATGTTACGTGTTGCAAATAAATTGAATTTAGAGCCCTTAAGTGGATTTAGGCTATCTTATCAGAGAAAATGTAAAGTTTATTTGTTAACCGACAATGAAGATGTTGAACGATTCATTGCTTACATTAGTGTTTCGCAAGATGATGTTACATTGTATGTTGTTGAACTTAGAAGTAGTGAAGTTGGGTCAGTAGCAGGTAGTAATCAACTAAGTTTTTCAACCCCAGTTTATGGTGCTCAAAATTTAATAGTTCCACCACAATTTCATCACCAAGCAAATTTTGTTTCACCACATTTCCAATACTAAACACAATCTCAAAACCCACAACCTTTCCCTAATCCAAATCCCAATCAACTTTCAGCACCAAATTCCGATTTTCGTATTGACCAGTTAGACGATGATGAGCCAACATAAAAAATTGTGAGTACTAGTCAGTATTCGAAATTTGATATTG